CAGGGAATTTCACCCCCAAATACAACTCCTTTGTATAAAGAGTATTTTGAATTCAAGGCCCTTACAGATCAATAGGCATTGGAAGGGGCTTCCCCTCTATCTGCATAAAACCAGACGGATCCATCAAAAAGAACAATTGCCTTTCTGCTCCCTCCCAATGTTAAAGATAATAATAACTGTCTCTCAGGTTAATTTAATTTCCAAAGAGAATCATTTACAAGTCAGTTTCCCCCATCCATTCATTCTCCCAAGTATCTACTATTCATCCTCCTTAGTAAACAGAATTATCTATATTCCTCATCTCCCTCTCCTCTTTCAAATGAGGATATATAAACTTCTGAATCCCACTGGGATATTGGGTAATCACTCTGTGATTCTCCCTGTGTGCATGGTAAATAAATTTGTAATCTCTTTCTTTTATCAATCTGCCTTATTGTGAGTTGATCTTTCAGTGAAACTTCTAGGGGCGAAGGGGAAATTTTCCTTCTTTCCCACATTGGCGTTGATGTCTGGGTCTTTTTTTAAAAATATAATTTCAACCTTAATGCAGTCAAAGGCATTGTTGAGAGAGATTTTTCTTAAAAGAATCTGCAATAGAACTAAAAGAATTCACAAAAAAAGCTAAAAATGCTGGTTTCTTAACCTGGCTTTACAATGATGTAGAGCTAGCCTGGTTTGGACTTCTACTTTGAGAATTTTGCTAAATATGTCTGTATCTTTTAACTTTTGCAGAATAATAAACTACCATATAACTTAGTGACTTAGTAAGCATTTATTTAGGTCACAATTCTGCCATTAGGCGATTTGGGCTGAGCACAGCTAGGTGGCCCTTCTGGTCTCAGCTGAGTCCCCTCATACATCTGCCGTCACGTGCTAGGCTAGCTGGAGGCTTGCTGGTCTAGGATGGCCTAACTTGGGATGGCTTATCTCTGCTCCCCATGGTCTCTCATGTTCTAGCAGGTCAACTCAGGTAGTTGAGAGCTGGACAGGATTCCAAAAGAAAGGGCAGAAGCTCACAAGGCTCCTTGAATATACAGACCTAGCACACTACCACTTCCATCGCATTCTACTGGCCTAAGAAAATCACATGGCCAGTCCAATTTCAAGGGGGTAAGGAAAAAACTCTTCCTAATGATGGAGCCGCAAAGTTATATCACAAAGGGCATGGATACAAATGAAGAGTAAAGAACTATGATTATTTTTGCAATCTACCATAATATACCTCTCCCATGCATAATCTACAATTATCTGGTTACTAGGGATTAAAAGAGCATTTCACTTTAGTCTCCAGGGAGAAAATCTCTACCCACTGACACCCATTCTACAAGTGTTAATGTTAATTGGGGCTCAGGCATGACATATATCAAGACTACTGCCTGGACTACAGTGATTATAAAACACCATGGACTGTATGCTGCATCCCAACTTCAGAAACATTAAAAAGGGAAGGAGGGTGCATCTCAGAATTGGTGTATTTCCAGGAAACTGAGGCACAGAAAGGTTAAATGAACCAGGCAGCTATGGCTGGGTGAGGGAGCAGTCACATACTCTGTGTTCTCAGAAAGATGTTGTGAAAGTGTCAGAGAACCTCCCTTGCTGCAGTCAAGCCAAACCAGTTCCTGTTGCCCCAGCCCCCGATGGCCATTTGAAAGAAACATTGGACAGAGACTTCTGGTTTGGGGCTTGGAAACCACCTAATCAGGGATAGACTATTTTGACCAATCAGGACTGAACAAGTTTGAATCCTTCATTTGCATAAATGGGCCCGATTGAGAACCAGGGCAAGAACATTCCCTATTTAAGCCAAGCCCTCCCTTTGTCCTTTGGGGAGCACACTTTCACTGGTACTGAAGGCTGTGCCTCCCCAATCTGCAGATTGTTTTTTTATAGAAAATAAAGCTCTCCCTTTTTTCTCTGCAGATCTTGTAGTATTTTATTAACAGACTGAATGACTGTGTAATTCTCAGAGGCAGCTAACAGAGAAAAGACAAGGAGACAGTAGACAAACTTGAGGACTTAGAGAAAGCTTATTAGAATTTTTTTGGATTAAACAGAAGCATATCAATGAAGTTACAGGCTTTCATTCATTCATTCATTCAAAAACCACTTATTCAGAATCTACTACATTCCAGACATCTTTGCAAAGCCCAGTCTGGTAGGGTAGGGGGAAAGTAGGGAGAAAACATGACAGGAATGCACAGATGAGGCCACGCAGGCCCCAAGCTTCCTCCACTCCACCCCTTACAGATGATGCTTTATCCCCAGATAGCAGGGAGCCGCTGACTACACTGCAGCAGTTAGAAGGTACTGGAACGAGGCTCAAAGGCAGCATCTCTGCCTCTCTGTCTGTCTCTCCTCCTAAGTTTTAAACAACGGTGTGTCCATGGAGATAAGTAATAATGCCAAAGGACTTCATATCCTCAGGGACTCTGGCCCCTTCTACTGCTCCTAGATTTCAGTCAAACTGGCCTTCTCAGTCACCAGCACCCATCTGCCCTCTGCAAGACCGTCCTTCACATGGTCCTCCCCACCTAAAATGCTCGTCTCAACAAAATCCTGTACATTTTTTAAGAGTCGATTAGACAGCTGGAATTTCAGATTCCCCCTTTCTTGGGCTTCACAAACTGGCTGACCCACTCTTTGGTAATTATTTAGGTACCTCTCTTGCATTATTCTTAACATTATATATATATTGTTTAGAGACAGGGTCTCAATATGTCCCCCAGGCTGGAGTGCAGTGGTGCGATCATAGCTCACTGCAGCCTCCAACTGCTGGCTCAAGCGATCCTCCTGCCTCAGCCTCCAGAGTAGCTGGGACTACAGGTGCACACCACCACGCGTGGATAATGTCATATATATATTTTTGTAGTGCTATTTAACTTGGTAAGCATTTATCAGCCTTTGTGACTGCCTAGTTTCTTAGTTTATCTCCTTTTGCCTCACATCTCCACAATGCGAGGCCCCAAGCCTCACACCTGTGCAGATGCTTGTTGAATCTCTGCCTGCCTGCAGTGGCTTTTCTTGTGGCACTTCACACCCGAATACCTGACAGAACCAAATTCCCATTGTGATTTGAATTCCCTAAAACGTTAGAAAATGACGGTTGGCTTCCCTTAAAGTAAACAAAAGCAGAATCTTGTTAAAAATTGGAGACCAAAAAAAAAAAACCCCTCAAACTATATTATGACATATTTTTATTGCCCATAGGATAGTAATTTGAGGCCACTGAATAGCTGTCAGAAATCAACTGTGTCAGGTAGAGCTAAGCAATACTAGATCTTCAGCTACAAAGCCACTAGTCCCACTTAACTTTTCATCAGTTGTCAGCTGATTACATTAAAGAAAATTACACTGCTCTCCTTGGAAGCTCACGTCTTTTGTTACCAGCATTTGGAACAGGCTTGGACAAAGCAAATCAGTGTCTGAAAGGGCTAGATATCTTCCCAATTCTCTCTCCAGGCTGAAGGTATTTTTATCCCCTTTCTGCATTTGCAAATCTTTGACAAAGTTCCTCTGGGGACTGGTCATGTTTTTAAAAATAAACTACATACCAAATTCTCCTTCACTGGCAGAAAATGAGCTACTCGTTAGATGTGCCGCAGCCAAAACACTCATTAAAGTTCCTGGCGCCTCATGCCGCCACTGTTTTCTATTTTCTGGAATGCCTTCGATCACAATAACTTGCCCATCTGAAGAGGAAACTTTGTTATAGAAAATAAAAATGCTTCTTTATTTGAGTTTTTACAAGATTACAGAACGTTAGAACCTTGGAGGTAACCTAATCCCACACTTTTCATTTTATTAATAAAGAAACTGAGATATAGAAAAATTTAGTGACTTATTGTCACATAGCTCATGGGTAGAAGAGTCATTTATTGCTTTGTAAACTGGCTTTTTTGGTGTGATAAATTTTCTATTCTATTTACTTATTCCAAGTTGGGTTTTCCCTCCATTGTCTTATTGAATTACAAGTCAATTCACACACCTATCATTACTTATTTCAGTGCTATACTGACATATTTCAACTTTCATCACAGGTACAGGTATAAATTTTAGCTCTCAGCCCCATGTTATCAAGAGGAACATAGGAAATAAGCAATAAAAATCTTTACCACCTGTGAAAATAACACCCAGAGGTGGGAGGATGCTATGAGCCCCCTAAGGAAAGGCTATGTCAGAATTTCAAATCGAAACAAAGGAATTTAGTTTGAAAATATCATCAAATCCTAAACACTTCTAACATTTAAATAGTGCATTAGCTTACAAAACAACTTATATATATATATATCTTTGCACTGTTAGCTCCCTAAATCTCGTAGGCATAGCTATTCTCTTTTCTTTCTTTTTAGAGACAGGATCTCACTCTATCACCCGGGCTGGAGTACAGTGGCATGATCATGGCTCACTATAACTTCAAATTCCTGGGCATAAGTGATCCTCCCTGCCTCAGCCTCCCGAGTAGCTGGGACTACAGATACGCGCCACCACGCCCAGCTAATTCTTTTATTTTTGTTTTGTTGAGACAGAGTCTCACTATATTGCCCGGGCTGATCTTGCACTCCTGGCTTCAAACAATCCTTCTGCCTCGACCTTCCAAAGCAGTGGGATTACAGGTGTGAGCCAATGCACCTGGCCTAGCTCTTCTTTTAATTCTAATTTTATTGGTGAAAAAAAATGACCCTCTGCAAAATAGCAAGGGAGCTGTCAAACTGGCGTTGGAAGGTAAATCAAGTCGCCTGCCCTTTCTTGTGCGTTCTCCCTCACTTTAAGAAGGTGGCCTCCTGAATTTGCCCTCCTTTACATCTGGTGGCTAGGGTGGTCATTGGTCTAGGATAATTAGCAGGCAAGTCTCTCTGGGGGTAGGGGGAAACCAAAACAATGTCTTTGAAAGGTGTTTGATACAAAATCTGCAGGGATTGTACTGAGAAGCAGGACTATCACATCAGGATGCGCAACACAGCCGTGTCAGGGCCTCGGTCTTCCCTTGCTGACAACTGATGCTAGTTGACCACATACTCACCATCAGGCATGGTGGAGCAGGTGGAGGTGACGTCGGCCACTGCCATCATCCGCAGCAGAGTCTGAGGTGCTCCTCTATCCCACTGCCCCCTGTTTTCTGCAGCAACAGCATCGTGCATGGAAAACCCTGAGTGTAAGGAATAACTCATTAATTCAACAGCAGCCAAAGTGTTGACTAACTTAGGAACCCACAGGTCTATCAGCTGGTAAGTTCAAACCAGAGAATGACCACCCTCGTTCTAACATAGATCATAACTTATAAGAATGAAATTATAAACAGGTGTAAAATTGTTTCGCTTTTATTATTAACGTTTGATTGACTAGCCCATATAGCTAAATGCTAAAGAAATATTAGTGACACAAATGGACAAATTCCTTGAGGCATCTATGAGAACTTTTACTTAAATTAGTTTCTGCAGAAATGCAATCTGTTCCATTTTCTTAATTTAAAAAATAACTTGTATTATCTTTTTCTTTATTACTGTTTTCAGTATAGAAAATTTCAAAATCTGATAAGTAGCAGAAAATAAAAATCACCTATAATCTCACTGTCCAGAGACTATTAAAATTTCAATTTTTTCCCCTCCATACAGTTTTTGCTTTGTTTTGAAACAAAAATTCGGCCACATACTACATACCCTCTCATTACTTGCTTTTTTCAATCAGCTACATGTCATATCCAGGCCATTAAATATTCTTCTGTACAACCATTCTAAAGCAAACACAGTATTCTGTCTCATGAATGTATTGTAATGTAACTAATTCTTTTTTGCTGGATTTTTAGGTTGCTAGTGACTTTTCACTATTATATATAATGCTATTGTATAATTACTTCATTTATAGCTGAATTTTTGCGGACATTCATGATTATGTACCCTAGATAAATTATTGAAAATGACACTTCTGGGAGCTAGTATTATTTGCTTTACCAAAGCTTTTCATTGTTAATTTATTATGTGATTTTTTTTATGTATTTTGAAAAGCTAGCTCTTGCCAATTAAAAAATTTTTTTTACCTATATTTTCTTTTACTTCATTTCTAATGTATAACTTTTTACATATAAACTCTTTGATTTGGGGGGGAATTTGTTTCATTGTATTAAATAGCATAGTATATAGGGTCTGATTTCACAGTGTTTCCCAAATTGTTAACAAATTGGCCCACTAGCATTTATTTGAATACTCCTTCCTTTTCCCACTGACTTGTAATGTCACTGTTAGCACGCACTGAATTATGATACCTACTGGGGTTTGTTTCTAAACTCTCTCTTCTTCCCACTGCTTTCTCTATTCTGGTGCTACTATCATATTGTTTCAATGACTATAATTTCTATGCTATATTGCGATGTTTGGAAGGGTAAAGTGCCCCTTTACTGTTCTTCTTTTTCAAAATTTTTTGGCTAGTTAAGAAACTTCAAGATTATCCAATCTTCCAAGATCTCCCCACACCAGAAAAAAATAAATCCTATTGTGATTTTGATTAAAATTGCCATAAATTCATATATTTTTTTGGAAAGAATATTTCCAATACATAGCACTGTTATTTCTCTCCATTTATTCAAGTGGTCTTTAAATACCTCAGTTAGGTTTTACAGTTTTCTTCATATGCCCTGCACAATTCTTGTTCAGTTTATTTGTAAGTGAATACACACACACACACACACACACACACACACACACATTTGCTATTGTTACTGTAAGTGAGATCTGAAGACCAACTGGGGAAAACATTTGCAATATGTATTACAGGCAAAGGTTTGATTTAAATCAGTCCTACCAAGAAAAAAACAAATATGCTATTTTCAGTAGAGAAATGAATGAAGGCCATATAAGGGCTCCTGGGCGGCCGCATCCCACCCCCATCACCTGGCCTTTCTCTTTCAGTTGATGCTGCCAACTCCTGTGCCTTCTTCGTGAAATCTCCTCCTCCAGTTTCACCCTCTCCTGATTCTTTCTCCACTTTTTTACATAGTGCTAGCGTACTTTCCTAAGCTCCATCTGCTTCTCGCTCTAGCCCCTCTGCACAGGTATCTTGAGCATCAGCAAGGTTTAAATACCATGGATATGCTAAAGCCGCCGAACTATATCTTTAGCCCTGATGTGCCCAGGCCTTAAGTCTGACACAGGTGGTACCTTCTAAACATCTCCAGCTGATGCTCATAGAGACCTAAACCTCAATATGTTCCAAACTTAGATCACTATGTTACCTCTACTGAGCGCCCTCTATATGCTGCGTATTTGGTTGGGGACAGCTTTGTGCATCCGAACTAGGAAACTGGGAGTGTCCTCAAGCCCCTTCTCCTCCTCAAGCCCCACACTCAGCGCCTATTCTCCCTGCCCTGCTCTGGCTCATGCACCTGTCATTTCCCACCTGGATTATTCTCCTGCTTCAGCCTTGACCCTGCCGCCATCCTTCACTCTGCAGCCAGCACGATCTTCTTCAATTGCAAATATGATTTAATCCACCACCCACGCAGGATAAGGCCCAAGCTCCGGGGCATGCCACACCCTGGAGGAGTGGGGACCCCTGACTCTCCATCCAGCTCCCACTCCAACAATGATTAACATTTCAGGCTCAGAAAACATGTTCTGTGTCTCCTTTCTTTTGCTTGTGACACTTCTGTAATATTGAGGGCAGGGTCCAGGTTTCGTTCATCTTTGAGCTCCCTGCCACCAAGCACAGTCTGCGGCATAAGAAAACCCTCAATAAAATGCCTGCTGAGTTGAATGAGAACTTTTCAAGAGGGAAATGAGGCAAAGGATATTCTAGGAAGAGGAAAGTGAGCCCAGCCAGCTGTGCAAATGCTCACATAGCTATAAGAGAACATGGGGGCGCCAGCAGGCTGTGTGGGTCCCCTCATCACTGGAAAGAAAGAAGAAGGCTGGGGCAGAAAAGGGGGTCACTGCAGGATCAGGCCACACAGTGTTAAATGTGATACTATGTGGAACGGATCTTATCAAAGCAAATCTGAGCAGAGTAATAATATGACAAGATAAATTTAGCAACCAGTCAGAGAATGAAGGACAAATATTAGAGAAAAGGAGGTCACATAAGAGAATAAGGCAATACAGTGGGGGAAAGGCAAAGGGAAAATTAAGAGAACAGCATTTATTAAGCAACTAATATGTGCCAGGTACTTTATATGTGAATCTCACTTTAGTCATCACAACAACCCTGTGTGGTTATTACTACTACTGTTATCCCCTGTTCCTAAGAGGAAACTGAGATTCAGGGCATTGGAGTAACTTGTGAAACAAAGGTCACACGACCAGAAAGTGGCAGTGCCAGCTGGGATTCAAACTCCCATCTGTCTCCAAAGCCCACACATTAACTACCACGCCACACTGCTGACGCTGTGATGACAGAGCCACAAACCAGCGGCAGAAGAGATGAAGGAGGAGGAAGACTCCGAGACATCTCAGAGTAGGAACCACCCTGGGGGTGCACCCTGGGGATGGCATTGACCAAAACAAAGGGTCATCGGGAAGGAAGGGTGCAGAAGAGCTCGATTTTACACATGCTGAGTTGGAGATGCTGGCGGCACTTGTCCATGGAGCTTTCCAGGGGACGATGAGAAAGACTGGTGAGTGTGGAGCTCCTGGGAGAAGCTGAAGCTACGGGAGGGAGCAGGTGACACTGCCAAAGTGCAGAGCAGGAGCAGAGGGCTGGGTCTCAGGGAGTGTGGACACCCCAGATGTCCTGCGGATGGGCAGGAGAAGAGGGACTGAGTTTCTGTCCAGCTAGGGGAAAGCAGAGAGGGTCAGGTGACAGCAGAGCCACAGCAGACAGTGGGGACAGAGTTCGAGATGGATTGCTAAGTAAGCAGTTCCTTCTCATCTACAGCTTTCAGGGGACACATACCTGCTTCTGGGCAACAGAGTTTTTCAAAAGCTTTGTCTGTATAATCTTCATGTTCCTTTACACGTTCATATTCCTTAAACCTCATGCGGTCCTCGAAGGCCAAAGCTTCATTTAGTATATCCATTGCCTAAATCAATCCCACAGTGTTTCATGAGAACACATATTTTGAAAAAAATATTTTAAAATATTCTATGTTCCTAGTAATACTAATTAGCAAGATATATTGTAAATAGTCAATACATGTTTATTGAACAAATATGTAGAGTTTTAAAACTGGAACTATGTTGGAATAAACTAGAAATGGGAATGTTTTCATTTCTTCTCCTTGTCAACAGTGACAAGCACTGGTCATAGGGCAACTTAATTTTATCCAGACTTTCTGCCTTTAATATTATTCTACTGCAGTTCCATTCCACAGAACTCTCCAGGTCTTCTCATCCATGCCCTACTTTTAAGTATACGACATTCCTAACCAGATCCCCGAAGCTGCTCCTAATACTCCATAATTGATATGAAAATAATCGCTACGTTTCAAGTATATTGAAGCACAGAATAAGAATGAACAGCCTGGCAGTTCAAACTTTCTGGACTCCATCCTTTCATTCCAGCAGAGCAGCGTCGGTACCTCCCATCACTGAAGCTCTGTGGGTGTACCACGCCTCAGGTTCCAACCCAGAAACAGGTCCCCAGGTCTGCTGCTCTCTGATCCCACAGCTCAGGGGCACTTAGAGGCCTAAAGGTTGAATAGAGGTGAGCACTATCACCACTCTAATGAATTCTTTATGTAGCAAAATGCTTGTGAAAATAAGAAATAACATTAAAAAGTTTTAAGCTAATAAATAATGTGAAAGAAAAAATTGAGTATCAGGTATGATTATTCAAACTTAACTTTTACTAACTTAAAATGTGAATTCAGGCTGAGCATCATGGCTCACGCCTGTAATCCTAGCACTTTGGAAGGCCAAGATGGGAGGATCACTTGAGCCCAGGAGTTTGAGGTTGCAGTGAGCTATGCTGACACCCCTGCACTCTAGCCCCAGCAACAGAATGAGACCCTGTCTCAAAAAAAAAAAAAAAACAAAGTGAATTCAGACAAGGTAAATGGAAAAACAAACCAGTTAATTTTGACATTAGCAAGTCTGATAAAAAGTGGGATAAAAAAGATGTTAAAATCAAATAATAAAATGAGATTTTATTTATTATATTCATGCATTTATTGCTGTGGCAAGGACACCCCAAATGCATACTTGAGATTGGACCAAAAATCTGTACAAAGTTATTAATAACTAATTAAGACTTAAAATAAATGTTCATAGCTTTAGGGTACCTGCTGAATTCATATTAGTATATTAATATATTAGTTCTTGACTGTGTTGACTGTGTGTTTTAATGTGGCTATGATAAAAAATTGATATGGAGAAAATAGCTCTTTTTATAAAAGCAAAACAAATTAAAATGGAATAATCCATCTAAGGAAATAACCTCCATTTTTAAAAATAGGAGAAAAAAGATTTGGAAGACTCATTTAAACATCAGAGACCCTTCTAGGAATATTTAAGAAAATTTTTCTTATAGCCTGTAGAATAACTTTATGAAACATACTAGTAAGATAGACTCATTTTCTCATACCTACTAATGGAAATGTATACTTAATGGCATACCTCTTCCTCTTGGAGGGTGTTTTCATTAGAAATACAGTTGTCTAAGTTAATTTCAAACTTTACCCCTCTCTAAGAAAGAAACAAGAAAAAAAAATCTTAGTTTGGTAATTCAATAAAAGCCTTAAAATTACAACTCCCTAGCTCAGTTTTATTTGATGTTACCAATACTTAAAACCATTAGTCTAACATCATAAAACAGGGCAATTCCATAAAATGGTACAAGAAAAAATCACATAGGCAACCCAGATTGCAAAGTGTAGACTCCCTGGCTTTTCAATATGGAATTGAAAGGCAAAAATGCTTATTACCTTAGCTTTACATTTCTGTTCTGGAATTTTGCTTTCCTTTATGTTCTGAAGCCTCATTTGTTTCAAGTCTCCTTCAATGTCCTGAAAGTTTAGAGAAAAATACAATTCTGTCATTTAAGATTGATCAAAAAATTATATTTTCACAACCCCCGAACTCACAACACTGTACATCTACATGATTTCAATTTCTGGATTGAAATTGATGATTGATTTGAGAATAAAAACATGCCTTTGTTAAAGAAAGTTAATAATAATTTGCTGAAAACTTGGGTATGATATCCAGTAACTTGAAATATTAATACATTTAATATTTCAATGGATAAAATTTTATGATGTGACAATGATCATCATTCCTGTCCAGTCCAGTCAAACCCAATCCAATTCAAGAATGTACTTTTGACTATAGGATCTTTCCCTTAGAGGCTTATGATCTTCATCAGGAAAATAAGAAAAGCGCACAACTCACAATAGCTATAAAGGAAGGAGAGGGCTCTAAAAACTGACAGGCAATTTCAAGAAGGAAAAGAAGAAAACTGCAAAAGTGGATGACAAGAATTTCAAAGATCAGCTGAGAGGTGAACTCGCTATGCTGAGGTTTCTTAGGGTTCCAGCCCCTGCTTCCCTCTTCCTCAATAGGAGGGGGTCTCATTCATGCCTATGAATGTAAATGTCACCTTTATACAATGACTCTTAAACATCTTCCAGCTTCACGTTTCCTCTCCTCTGAGCTTCAGACTCCCATATTCTACTGCCTGCGTAACATCCCCTTCCCTTTAATATTCATTCCACAAATTCCTCTCGAGCACCCGCTATGTGCCGCATCTACACAATGGGTTAGCACAGCGAACGTGACCCAGAAGGCCCCTGCTGACACGGAGCTTACATTTTACTGAAGGAAGATAGGTAATAAATGAGTCAACAGATGAATGACATAATTTCAGAAAGTGTTAAGTGTCATCAAGGAAATGAAACAGGGGAATAGGATGGAAAACGAGTAGGGGGCGAGAGTAAGGCCGGCAAAGCTTGTTTGACATTTGATTTGCATCCTGGAATGATACGGCCCCTGGCATCTGAAGGTCCGGGGGAAGCATTTTCCGTGTGGAAGGAACAGCAAGGTGAAGGCCCCAAAGCAGGGGTGTAATCTCTCAGACCTTCTCTAACGCAGCCCAGATGGAACTCTTGACTGCCCCACACGCCTTCCAAGCAGTGGCTACTGCAAACTTCTGCTTCCTGTCAAGATGGGGTATCAGGGACCAGATTCACTTCCTCACCTGAGACAACTAAAGAGCCAGATCCAATACAGAAACAGCGGGTTTTAATACATCAGACATCTAGCCAAGAAAGAGATCTAGCAAAGAAAGAGAAACAGAAAACAAACGACACAAGCCCTACACCTGCCCCAGCCCCAGCCTACTGTCTTGAGAGAGTTTGCAGGCCCTGGCGCAGGGATGGGGAGCCCAAGCTGAGCCTGGCAGCCTCCCTGAGTTGATAAGACAAAGCTGAGGACCTGGGGATATCAAGGCTGCTAGAGTTTGAAGGACAGAGTCCCAGAGAGGAAAGAGCCACACAAAGACAGCATGGAACTCACATACGATGCTGGTGGGAGGGTAACACAGCACAACCACTTCGGAAAACCATTTGGCAGTTCTTAAAAAGTAAAATATACACCTACTATATGATCCAGCCATTTCGGTCCAAAGTATTTACCCAAATGAAAGAAAAGAAGCATATGTCCACGCGAAGATTTGTACATGAATATTTATGGCGGCTTTATTTGTAATAGGCAAAAGCCAGAAACAACCAAAATATCCATCTACAGGTGAATGAATAAACAACTTTTGATATATTCATACAATGTAATATACTCAGCAATAAAGAGGAATGAGGAACTATTACAGTGTGCAACATGGATAATCTCAACATTATTAAGCAAATGAAAGAAGCCAGACAAAAGAGAGCACATGCAGTATGACTCCATTTACATAATGCAAACTAATCCAGAAAATGCAAACTATCTGCAAAGACAGACAGCGGATCTGTGGTTGCCTGGAGGTGAGGTTGGAGGAGCGGCCGGGAGAAACGGGAGAGAGGAATTTATAAAAGGCCACAAACAAACTTTTGGGGGTGATGGATATGTTCACCATATTGATTAGGGTGATGGTTTCCTGGGTGCATGTGTCAAATGTTATAAAGTATAGACCTGAAGTATGTGCAGTTTATTATAGGCGGCTATCCCTCAATAAAGCTGTTTTTAAAAAGGGAGGGGGGACCCGAGTCCTGTTCCGTGGCAGTACGCTGGAGCGGCGGGAGAGAGACTGGACGCCAACCTAGAGCTCCCAGCTCAGCGAAGATCCCAGCCCCCAAGGCTGCCCCGTCATCACTTTTCACAGCGCCACAAGGGCCTTTCCCACGACATGACACTGGGGAACTCTGTAACAGCTTGACGCTGAATTCCCCAACCACTGGGGTGGATAAGGGTTGGAGTCTAAGATCGTTGTATTTTAAGGAAAATAAAGCAGTATGACACTTATTGTACAACTGAGACAACCAGGCTACCCAATCAAATCAAACAACCAACTTCACAAATACAAAATACGTAAGTCATAGTCCTGTTTCACTTCATAATATTGCAAGGCAGAAAAACACCCTTCCCAAGGTTGCAGGGCAAACAACTAACAATGCTTCGAACTGACACACACGGTGTGTGAAGTATATAGAAATGCTGTGGAAATATATTTGTTAATTCTAAGGGAGAGAGAGGAAAAGACTATGCTAGAAACTTCACCAGGAAGTCTGATATGATGGGTTTTGCAAGAAAAGAAGACAGGGAAAGGATATTTCAGTAGAGGAATGACCATTTTTCAAAGGCTTGGAGGAGAAAGATTCTTTTTTTAAATATGTAGAGCTTAAGAAAGTAATTTGAGAGGGCTAGACCTTTGGGTGTGTTTGGAGGAATTGTGAGAGATGAGGCTGGAACATTCTAAGAAATGGGCTTGCTAATGCCATGCTAAGAAAATGGGCTTTATGCTATTCACAAAAGGGAGTTGCCACAGATTGTCAAGCAGAGGTAAACGTGTTCACATCAGTATTTTGGAAACTCTACGAGTAGCACAAGAGAATTTAAAAACCTGTTTTATTATATAGCTGTATATTCCCTTCGAATAAGACAATGAAAATCTAAATTCAAAAAGTGGACAAATTCGGGGGTAATTATTTCCTTTACAAAAGTTTGCAAAGGGATCTGCTGTTGGATTCCTCTGGAGGCTAGCAGCCACCGATAAACATCAGATGCCTTTTCTGTTTGAAGATTTTGATAAAAATGCTGACAGAACTAAGGAGCAGATATTTTATTACACATTTTTGTAGTAAAAGTGTAACCTCCATATAAAAAATTTAGAAAGTAGTGAAAAAATAATCACCCCTATTCCCCACACCAATCTAAATACCTCTAAATAACACTGTTGGCATTTTGGCGTGTTTTCTTTCAAAGTTACTCCACAAAACATACAAAATTTTATCCACCTAATTTCTGATATCAACTTTTTTAGAGAAGGCATCATCATTTGCTTGTGTTCTTTCCTACATTTTAGTTATTTTTAGATGCTTGATTTTTTTTTTAACATTAAGGTATTAGATTTCTTTGTATTGCTAAAACCAGGTTAAAACATGAGAGAAAGAAATGTCTGTAAAATCTGAGCTGTCTTTTCATGGGTTTGACTATGATCCTACTGGCATCTTAGAATGTTTCCAAAGATGTTACAAGTTTACAATATGTTAAGGATTTCCAATTTCTAGTTGACTCTGGGCCAAGCTCTAACAATAAATACAATTTAAAATGTAAAGAATTACTCTATATAATTCGATAAGTCGATTGATAATACTAATTGCCAGTACAGGCCATATCATTGAGAATACTATTAAGCAAAAATAAAAGCATGCTTGGGCTTCTTCACAAAATCAATACAACTCCTTGTAAAGTAAAACATGTAATCACAAGAGTATTGCTTATGAGGTCATTTCACAGGTTGAATAATTTTCAGAATTAGTTGAAATCAACAGATTCATTTAGCATTATAATCCTATAATCTTTTCTCAGACAGAAAAAAATCTCTCTTGAGATCCATCTTCCTGGCCTCCCGTCCCCATCAAAAATGTAAGGTTGAAATGGAAGAGAAGGTGACCACCAGACTTCACGACCAATGTGTCTGAGACACGGACTCCCACCATCCCGAGAGCTGAACAGATGCTAAAAAGCAGCAGTTCTCAAACTGCACACTAAATTACCTGGCAAGCTTCTGCAGACAGGATGCCTGAGTCCCACCCACACCGTTTGGGGCAGAGCCTAGACATTTGAGTTTTTTAAAAGCTCCCCACAGGATTCCATTTGACAGTGAGGGGTAAGCACCAGGGACCAGAGCCAACTCACTGGGCAGCACACACGTCTAACAACGGCCGTCACTACCTGCACGGGAGCATCCTCAGACGCATCTTGGTGGACGGGCAGGTCACTCTTCCTCACCAAATAGGTGCTGTGACTTATTTTCGAGTTCTCCTTTAACACAAATTATACACAGTCAACACGACTGGTTTTGCGTGAGTTCTGAAGGCTGCTTGGCAGAGGCGCTGTCAGTGGGACTGGCGGGATAGAGCCTTCTTTACTCCTTTTCCCTGCGACGGCCTCAGTATCCCCCAGGCGCTTCTTTCATAGTCTCTGTATAAATGGTTGCTACCCACCCTTTCTGGACTCAGGCTTCCCATCGCAGACCTGCCTTAAATACAAGGCGCATGGGGGCCAGAGGCTGCCCACCACGAACCAAGCCTCTGCTCTGGAGAGAAGCACCTCCAAGCTGCCCCTGCCGGCACACGCTGTCAGAAAACTTGCGTGGCTCTTTCAGAACGCCTCCCCTAGCCCTGCCCCTCTACAATCCACTCTTCTTCTCAGGCCCGCCCCTTCTTCCCTAAAATCCCGTGTCCTGCTCATCGTCCTCGTCTTCGCTCCTGTGCACCTACAGGACTTAGCTATATTCCGTCTTGCTCTGTGAGTGTTTCATACGTGTGTCTTATCTCCCCAGCTATATATGAGCAGAACTGCGTATGCTAGAAAGAGTAGGGGCCTTCAGAGTCAGATATTTAAACATTTAGTCTGTCTTGTAATATCTACATGACTTTGGATGAGTTAATTTCTCCACTCTGGTGGGTCAATGATAGGAAGTTCGTATGTGAAAGCTCTAGTTCACAGCCTGACACATACGGCTGAATTGTACCACAAGCTCATTGACTTATATTAATTCGTCTGCATGCACTAGGGGCAGAGGCAAGGAGGAGAGAGGGAGGGAGAGACCTATTTCAGCAGCATGGCCATTCTACTCAATGAATGTGTCGCCAAGCGCATGTGAGGCTGGAGACACAGTCCCAGTGCCCGCAGGCCTCCTGTAGGAGTGTGTCAGGGCCCTGAGGGTATTCTTAGTATTTCAACAGCCATGTGTTTTTCATATAACACGGTCTCCAAACACAGGCTAGTTATTTCATCTGGACCTCTTCTGAAGCAGCAGTGATCTGCTCCAGCTCTAGAGACCTTCCCGAGAGCTGCAAAGATGAATTTCCCATGTGGCTCCTTTAACGGGTTTTCAAGAATCATCTCGACTGACTCAGATGTGACCTTATACAAGCCTTAGAACCTTACCTCTGCACACAGTTGAATTCAATAAATGCTAGTTTTTATTTCCCTCCTGGGCACGAACTTTCTGCATCTAATCCAGTTCTGGCGTAAAGTAGCCGCTCAGTAAATACTCATTGACTGATTCACGAGGAAGACAATCAACAAGTATTTTTAGTAACAGCCATTCCTATCTGAGAATCTCAGACATACTTATCACCTTGTGAGGTCTCCAGTAAACCACAATTAAGTGAAGCTTCAATTAGGTCTGACAGTTTTCCTATTAAAAAAGAAGTCTGCATCATGACCTCTAGGATAAAAATTTATCTTTTCTATAAGGAGATCGTTACTTTTAAGCTCAATTTAGTTAGCTCTAAATCGATACAGCGACGTTTCCTCTAGAAGAATGAATTTACCTCTGGTTCTCTCCCCATCTTCTTTCTAATTTCCTTCATGTCATTGTGGTACTGTTGGCGTATTTCCTCTAACTGCTTCCAGTATTCCTGGAAAGCAAACCCATTCCAAAAACTTTAAACACTTGTGAATACCTTCACAAAAGTAATCTCTATACAGCCTACAATTTTTAAAATGTGTCATATAAAATGAGAATTAGAAAATCTGTTGCTCCTAAAGATGATAATCTGCCGTATGTTTGGGCTGTGGTAATTCACACCCAGTGAGACAGCGGATTGAGTTATAGATCTCACTTTTATATATAGCCCCAACTGTGTTAATGACAAGTCCCACTTTTAGATATAATCCTGTTATGGGTTGGATTTTATTCCCCTTCAAAAATGATATGTTGAGGTCCTAACCCCCAGTGGCTCAGAATGTGACCTCAGTTGAAAATAGGGTCATCGTGATATAATTAGTTAAGATGAGGTCATACTGGAGTTGGGTGGGCCCCTATTTCAATGTGACTGATGTCCTCATAAGAAGATGGCCCTGTGAAGACAGAGACGCACAGGGAGAACACCACGTGACAGAGGCAGAGAATGGAGTCCCGCAGCTGCAAGCAAAGGAGTGCCAAAGTTTGCTGACACACCACCAGAGGCTAGGAAGAGGCAAAGGAGGATTCCCTTACAGGTTTCAGAGGGAGCATGGCCCTACTGACACCTTGATTTTGGACTTCCACTGTCCAGAATTGTGAAACAATAAATTTCTGTTGTTTTAAGCCACTCAGTTTGTTGTACTGTGTTACAGCAGCCCTAGGAAACGAATACGAGTCCTAACTATATAAATGATGGCGGACAATTATTTTATCAATCCAAGGTAAAGGGTGTTCTGAACTTAGCTATGTTGCATTCTCTGAGAAAGTGAAATACGTAACTCTGTAACTCTGTATCCCTTGTGACACCCAGCATGGTGCTTTACATATTGTGTCCAACAAGCATTTGTGCAACAGCAGCCTCTCAGGTACACTGGAGGAAATGTAATAGAAGTAACACCCCACGACAGTACAGAAGACAATAATATGAGTACAGTGGTAGCCCTGGAATTAGACTGTTTTTAACCTGTTCCTTCATTTTGTTTTTCCTAAACTGCAGCTCCTGGAAGCTAGACTCTTCTCCATTACTTCTTAGCTCTTGTCTCTGGTTGTGATTTGGCTCAGCAGAAGACGGACGAAGACCCTATTTATTGAATGAAATAATTTATAAAGCAACTTGCATTTTGGAAACATCTTCTGATTTGATGTTGACTTTTCCCTGTAAACAAGAATTATATCACCAAGCAAACCAAGTATTTGGGAGTTTTTTATGGTAAGTAGCAGAAGTTTCTTAATTTAGGTATGAAATATTAAACAGTTTATAAAAATTAATTCAACCATTGTTTATTCTTAGCAATTGATATTTTATACTACCTCTTTATACTACCTAGATTCATTTTCTGAATTTATAAATTATAATTGTGATATTAAAGTTCTATAAAGGTTTAGAGACCCTGGAACATGAGATTAGGTAGGGTAATAGAACTACAGCTTTTAAGCAGTTCAAAATAAGAGTGATACACATAGGATGCATATCCAGTCTCTCTTGGCCCCAGAATTCTGACATAGTATTTCAAGGTAAAGGTTAACTTTCATTTCAAATAACATACAGTAGTAACTTTTTTCAAATGTGCAGAAAAGTCTTTAATAAAGTAGAATCAAAGCATTGCAGCACTGAAAGGGAACTTGAAGTTCATCTACTCCAAAATTGTCATTTATAAATTGTCATTTATTAAGGCTCAGAGAAGTTGTATGAACTGCCCAAGGTCACACAGCAAGTGATAGAGCCAGTAAAGAAACCAGTCTTCCGAGACACTGACTCAAGCCTGTTCCCATTATTTTCTTTAGCTATTAAAAACTGGGAACTAATGAAGGGTAGTCTTGACCTTCGAGTGGAATGTACTCTGACTTAAGGATCCATGAATATCTGTGAGCAGAGAAACCATTAGGAAATTCCTGATTGTCTCCCATATTTGATATTTGACTTACCAATTGCTTTTCCACTTTTAACTTATATTGTTGAGCTTCAAATTTCCTCTGAAGGTACTCAGCAGGCCTTAGGAAATAAGAATGCTCAGCTTGAGTTGAAATTTTAATGAGTCTTAGGCACCAATTTGACAAGTGGATTTTCAGCTTAGCAATAAGATTCACAATTCACCTATGGTTTGAAGTTCCAAGTTTTAGAAGTAATTCAGAGTTACAGAAAATTTACACTGGGAAAGACAATTTTAGAATCAAGAGGAAAGAGGGATAAAGAGAAGAGTAACAGTTGGCGATACAGGAGAGAATTAATCGGAAAAAGATTCTGATGCAGTGATTTCTCTTCGGGGCAGGATTCTGTCCTTCCATAGTCTGTAATATGTTGGGAGGAAAACAAACCCATGCCCAGGTCTTTTCAGGCTTTGTGCAGGTGTCTAACGCACAGGTTGTCACTCCTGATTTGACAATGGCCGTGTGTCTGTTTCCTGCACTAAAAGCTAAGCTCCCTGAGAACAGAACGTGTCCTTCATCCCTATACCTTACCTGATGTGCCGGCACATAAATGCTTAATGAATAAAGAAGTGATGCTTTAGCTGTGTCTCAAAAGTTTAAGGTATTTTGCCAGCACGATTCTGGCCAATTCTGGTCAAACCATTTTCAGCTTACTTACATTTTATATATCCATCTTTTTTTGCAGAATTTCTTGCAAAGAATTTCCGTCATTACTGGTTGCTAAATGAAAACTGCATAGGATGAACTATGTGATAAAGAGTTTTGGAATGCCAGTAACTTGTAAGGCTCCAAAGATAGAACTATCATTTCAGAAATAACTCCTTTAGGAATATCACGATAAGCAGCCCCCAATTTATTAGAGTCAAGTTAGTAATCAGTTTAGAAATATGATGAAATGTCAAGCTAATTAAGGTCTCTGGGTCTTAGTTCCTTATCTGTAAAATGGACACAGTACCATTTCACAGGGGTTGATAAGAGGATTAGAAGAGATTAGGGCTGTGAAGGTTTCCAGCCAGTGTCTGACACATAGATAGCACGTGAATCAAATGAGGGCTAAATTGTAGCACTCATCCCTCTCAAAACCCCAATTTGTATGTGTGACGATGTCTCTCCTCCTCTTTATACCCCCTTCACCCCCGGACCCCTCTCTCCAACCCTGTACAAATTCCTCTTCCTCCATCCCATCGCCTGGAATCGGAGCTCCAAGAGAGAGGAAGCTGGGGAGAGGGTGTACAATGAGGAGGGATTACTGGTCCTCGAGGGGCATCCTGGGAGACAGTGGGACGGGGCTATGATGGGGAAGAGAAGGAACTTTCTACCAGTCCATGTGAAAGCTTGGGAGATAAAACCATACGTAATCAAAATAATTGATAGTTTGTCAGCTTTCAAATCTAGACAAAGAGGGGAAGATATATTTTTCCAGTGGCTGAGCAAAGGGAAAGGGAGTTTTGTGGCTGCTCCCAGTTTATATGTAAAATGTATGTCCCTCATTAATTGAGTCTGACATGGACATTACAGTTTGAACTAATGGAACACATAAATTTTGATAATCGGGGGGTAATTTAAAATGTGTTACGGAGATGGATAAAACCATAAGAGCACCCAGTATCTCTAAAAATAAAACATCTAGCTGAGTGTGGTGGCACGTGCCTGTAGTCCCAACTCCTCGGGAGGCTAAGGCAAAAGGATCACTTGAGCCCAGGAGTTCAAGGTCAGCCTGAGCAATATAGTGAGATCCTGTCTCTAAAAATATAAAGTTAAAATAAATTAAAACATCTACTTTTCCCATGATGCATTTCTGAAGAAATCATTCTTTCATCATTCTTGCTTACCTAATTTTCACTAGCTATTAATAGGATCACTCTCGCATAGACTCTTATATTTTTCATGACATCCAAAATTTCAACAATAAATAACCACAGTCATCAAAGTTAGCAAATTCCCAACCGTGAACAAAAAAATAATTTGATGACAAAAAATAACTTGCAGACACAGGTCCTCAGCCCTGTGCCAGGAGTCAATGATCCTGGACACAGGAGTACTGACATCAGTGTGAAAAAAAAAAAATTGAAAATATTATAGATCTATAGAAATATGTTATGGAGCAAACTTTTTGAAAATTTACCATAAGAATATTAAATCGCAGTATATTATTTTCTTTATAATATATCCATATTTTGAAAATCCCTAGAATATAAATGTTAAATGAAATATATTTCACTTTGCAAAATGTCTCAAATGATCATTTGATTTCAATCATTCAATCATTGATTCATATAATGACTTCTTTGAAAAATGGAATATATACAACTATCTTTATCACCCCTCAGATAGTGGAATTTACTAGGAGGAAAGAAAAATATTAAAAATTCAAGAGTATGAATCTGTGCCTATAGTTAAATGGCTCCACAAATAAGAAGATAAGCTATATCAGACTTGAGATGAAAAAGGGTGGAGGGAACTGTGGATTGAGGATTTAAAATGAAGGATTTGGAAAGTTCTCCCTGGATTATTTATTTTAGGAGAATTTGGAAGGATTTCAGAATAAAGAATGTCGATATATAAAGATATTCTCAGAGAACCAAGGCTTAAGTTAGACTACAGTATTACCATTGACGTGGGGATGGGCCAAGCATTTCTTCCTGATTATAATTTTCTTCCATTCCAGTATCTTTTTGTGGAACAGAGTGATAACTTGGTCCATGGGCTCTCTTCCTCAACAAGTCAAGTCGAGCATAATAATAATCATAATGTTCATACACGGCAGCAAGTTTGGGCCTTTCTATCATTTTTATCTGAGGGAAAGAAAAGGGAATATTTTTTTTAAAAAGTAACACAAATCTATAATCACTGACAATTCGATGGTGACCATAGTTAAGACAAGGTATCGAAGGTGTATTTTTGTTATTTTTGTTCTGCACTTGTCTTCAGAGTAAAATAATCTTAGAGTCCCCGAATCTTAGAGTTGAAAAAGACCTTAGAAGTCTAAGTACTGTAGTATATAGTTTGTAATTTTGCTAAGGTGTGGATATGAATCATGCATACTTCATGGCTAGGGTGTGAAAAATACTTACCTAGTGAGTATGCCTCACCAACCCAATAACTGAAACTATAAACTATTGTTTTTTCTATTTCTCATAAACTTGTTTATACGTTACTGAACTTTATGGGAGAATAAACGTTATTGTGCAACTCACAAATTTGGGGATTTGCAACATTTTTAGTTTCTGATAAATTGACTAAATGCAAAATGGCATCATGACTTGAAGGAAAGAAGACGCTGAGTCATTCAGAGTCATTCTTCCCAAGAAACACAAGGTCACACAACAGCTATGACAGGCATGTTACCACCGCAAGCTACTCCTCACCACCCCTCCAACCAGAACAGAATGAGAGGAGGAGAACTGGAAACAAAAGTTTATCAAAAGTTTATCTTAGAGCTGAGTAGAGACAGGAATCTTAGAGTTGAGCTAGAAGACAGGAATCAGATCAAATTAAGATACGAAAGGCAGTCAAGACCCTGTTGCTAAGAAGCAAAGTAGGGTCAATTTAACATTAAATGTGACAACTCTGCCTACTTCACAGATGATAATAAAAGAGAAAAGATCAAACCGCTGGAAAGACCTAGGAACTCATAGTTGGGAATATGAATAACTAAAAAATCATTAAAACTGAAACGTTCTCACCGTAAAGAGGTAACACATTACATTCTTTATTCTTTTTAATGCTATATGGATCGTACATATGTTAGATTGGACCATATATTGGTCAAATCATTAACCTACCAAAATTGCACTTTCATATAGTTCTATTTAAATATTAATGTAAATGTATAAAATTTGGTTTATTAGTCTAAGCATAAGTTATATGTTTATTTTTAGAATCTTTTAAAGGAAGAGGAAGGTTTTTTTTTGTTTTGTTAATTTCACCTGCATATAACCCAGAAGAAGGTGGTAGTAATTACTTGTTGAAAAATGGTTAGAAATAGAAAAAATATTGGAAGGAAATAAACACAACTTGTTTAAAATTTTCTCTAAAATCCCAAGTAGTAATGGGAACATCAGAGGTGGTTCCCATGGAAATTCACTTACTTCACTCCATCAGCAGAAGCTTTTCAACAGATTAGAAAAAATGTCAACTTGTTCAAAAGTTCTCCTAATTTATTCCACACTCAAAACTTTTGGATTTTTTTTTTCTTCTTCAGGTCTGATACACAGCATTCTGAATCATGGCATACTTTTTTTATTTCTTTAATAAAGTTAAACTACTTTTTATTAAATGACGAGCAATAATTTAACCAATAGTTTTTTAAAAATCTGTTTATACAACACGATTTCTAAAACATCCAGATGTTAAGTAAACACTTAGTAAATATACTTCCAAATGGTCCTCTAATTATCCCATAAGCCATCTCTAAAAATACAATTCTTCAATTAAAAGACAATAGCCATTTATCATCTATATACCAGAAGCATTTCACTAGCTCACTAGCATGAGCTAAAACAGTCAACACTGCCAAAGTGGATTCAAATAGCTAAGCATAAAGAATCCCTATGAAAAGATCAATTATTATATAATAAAAACCTCTTAATTGTACACATAACATGTTAGAATTAAGAGTATGAAATGCAAAGTGTTTTCTATTGCTACATTACTTGCCCTATACAGAAAAACCTTATTTATTCAAAGAAATTAGAAGAATTTTAATTATAAAAAGAAAATGAAAACTAATATATACTGATAAGAAAATACAGTATTGCTTTATAAAATATAAAAACTAGAAGTTGTCCAATGAGGTACCACTTTAATGCTCATTACCAAATGATTTTATTATAAGCACAAAACTAGTGGACTCTAAATTAATGAGCTTATACCTCATTAACATGTGCAGATAGGTCTGTGAGAATATACCATAGCTAAGGAACCAGAGAGAGGGTTTAGTATGACTTACAGATATGGGCTTCTGGGCTCCAGCTGGTGGTCTCCATTCATTTCTATGTGATATATCCTTCCTTTTAATTGATGGGCACTTTTCCTGGAATCTCACTTTCTGTATTTTAGACTCTTATTTAACCAAAATAAAACAACTTCAATTTCCAAAAATTTCTACACGTTTAATATTGATACTCGTAAGAATATAAACACAAGCTACATTTCATAAAGTAAGTTCACTTTAGTCAGAGATGTTTTACATACACAATGAGAGAATTGATGAAAAATCACTATGCATTATCTTTCAATGGAGAAAACTATTCTTTTCCGGAGTTCCTTTGTATGTTTTTGGTAACACATAACGTTACTTTTTTAAAAATTAGGAATTAATGTTGACATTTACAGAAACCATTTGCATGGGATAATAGTCAAAGTCATGAAATGCAGTCATCAAAGCTTGGGTTATCAGGCCACGCCATTCATGTGCACTGTTGTTTAAGATGTATCAGTAGCTCTTCTAATATGTTTGTCTCCATCAAAATTTATTCTTGTTTCCCTATCTTTTCTATATTAGAAGTGTGGACAATGCACTTTCTCTCATCCTCTACTTACCTACTTTCTAAACATTCTCAGTCTAGACTGGTAAATAACAATGTCAGTCAAACCAAATGGCAGAGGCTCATTCATTTTCCCTTTATAACTTTCCTCGAGTTTAAGTTCTCTATCACAGTGGATAACGTGTCCCTACCACAGATTCCTTGGAGAGATTTTCTGTTCCTCCTGACCCTGTAAGTCCAGATATTTGGTTATGGCTAAATCTTGGGGCTCTTTCACAGCATCAATTGAATTAGTAATTTTCTCTTCCTTACCACAGGGCACTTCATCACTTCAGATGATCCCTTTTTTCTTTCTTTCTTTTCTTTCTTTCTTTCTTTCTTTCTTTCTTTCTTTCTTTCTTTCTTTTTTTGTGCGTGTGGTGTCATCATAGCTCACTGCAACCTCAAACTCCTGGGCTCAAGTGATCCTCCTGCCTAAGCCTTCCCAGTAGCAGGCGTCACCACACTGGGCTAATTTTTTTGTTGTTGTTTTTGTAAAGACAGGGTCTTGCTCGTGCTCAGGCTGGTCTCAAACTCCTGGCCTCAAGAGATCCTCCCACTTCGGCCTCCCAAAGTGCTAGGATTACAGGTATGAGCCACCATGCACGGCTTTGTTCATATTTTTTTTTAAAATGTCTATGTTCAATATATTTGGTGCAATTTCCCCGCTAACATTGCCAGCTGTATGTGATAACTGGCTGTGTGGGACACTTGTAATAAATGCATAAGTCACTCTTACCCTGGACCACCTTCCCAGCAGGTTGAGATGCTGACGCTCTTTCCCTGTGTAGAAGTGTGCGATTGAATTCTTCCTTAATGACCTAAAACCAAATACAGGAGTCAAGGACCTGTGAACCAAGATCGCTGCCAAAATCCAGTCACCTCAAAACTCACCTCAGGAGCCAAGTATTTGGCAATAAGATTCTCTAAAAAGGGCCTTTTCAAAATGGAATTAATAGATGGTCGATCTCGAGGAGATACTTTAAAGAGTTGAGGTATCAAGGACCGTAGGTCACGAGAAAACCTTGGAGATATTGGGGCAAAATGTGCTTGACAAATCTTCAGAACCAGCTGGTGTAAGCTGTTACCCTCAAACTGAAAGGACAAGGAGCAATGATACTAAATCAGAGAAAAGTTAAATACCAGCATTACAGTAATAAATATGCCAAAAAACAAAAAAATGTTTTTAAGCTGCAGTTATTCACTATGGTCTACCCTAACTTGTTTTCATCAACTCATCTTTCATGAGTAGATACTGCAGACAGTTACTCAATGAGATGCCATGTTATTTAAAACAAGTTTTTTTGTTTTAATTTTTTTCTTATGATCAAAATAATATTTACTCATTATAAAAAACTGGAAAGTATATGAAGTTATAAAGTCAGGAAAAATACATATAATTTTACCTTTCAATCTTTTTTATATTTATTTATTTGTTTGTTTATTTATTTATTTATTCTGAGACAGAGTCTCGCTCTGTCGTCCCGGCTAGAGTGCAACAGCGTCATCATAGCTCGCTGCAACCTCAAATTCCTGGGTTCACACGATCCTCCTGCCTTTGCCACCCAAGTAGCTGGGACTACAGGCACATGCCACCAAGCCTGGCTAAATTCTTCTATTTTTTGTGGAGCCGGAGTCTCGCCCATGGTCAGTCTGGTCTCAAACTCCTGACCTCAAGTGATCCTCCTACCTCAGCCTCCCAGAGTGCTAGGATTACAGGCATGAGACACTGTGCCCAGCCTCTGGTCTTTCTAAAAGTAATGTTTATTTTACAAAGTTGAAGTCATACTGATACGAAATTTTATGTCTTACTTTTATTAAATTTACATAAACATTTTTTCATTTCCTCAAAAACCTTCATAAATCAGAAAATCTCCTATTGTATGAAATCGTCAGTTATTTATACACAATAATAATATTCAACAGCATGGTGTGGCAATAAAGGTACAGGTTTTGGTCAGACACTAGCTGTGTAACCTACAACAATAATTAATAATTAATAATAATGATGATGACAGCTCTGTAGAAAAGAGTTGACACAGCAGGCTATCCTTAGAAAGGCCTGCTTACAATGTTGGCCCCTTGGCTGGTATCTGAGAACTTAGATATCTGGAGAATTCTCATTATTCCCTAATTGTTAAGAGTGGCTCTTTGTCTAAACTATTTATGCACAAAATATGGTTTATGTTGACTACTTGGTTTCTTTCCGTGAGTCTGGGAGTTTGATATATGCCAGACAGAGGGTTCCTACATGACCAGTGCCCAATAAAAACCCTGTGCAGTGGGTATCTAATGAGCTTCCCTCGTAGATAACACTTTGGTGTTGTCAAAACTTGTTGCTGGAGGAATTAGCACATCCTGTGTGACCACTGGGAGAAGACTCTTAGAAGCTTGTGCCTGGTTTCCTACAGACTTTGCCCCATGCACCTTTTCTTTGCTAAAGATATATATTCACACACAATATATTTTTAGTGGAAAAATGCTACATATACTATTCTCCAACTTGGACCTTTTACTTTAAAATATTGCTCGAACTTCTTTCCAAGTCAGGACATACCGATCTATCATTCTTTTTAATAGTTTATCCATATAATTTTTAACAATCTAATAAAATCAAACATTAACCTTGTTCTCCCAGAAGTAATTTCATTTATATGATTTCAATAATTCAAGATTAATCTGATGATTAACATACTTACAGGATGCTTAAGTGTGCAGAGCTCGTATAAGACACAACCAAGAGACCAAATATCCCTAAGGAAGATAAGAGTCTTATATGCCAAGAATATATCCATAATTTTTATTTTATTTTATTTTATTTTATTTTAGAGATACTCTGTTGCCCAGGTTGGAGTGCAGTGGCCCAATTATGGCTCACTGTAACTTTGAACTCCTGGGCTTAAGTGATCCTCCCACCCCAGCCTGCAGAAGTGCTGGAATTACAGGCATGAGCCTCCATGCCCAGCCCATAATTCTTAATAAAAGCTTTTATCCTTACAGCACCTTAAATTTGTATAGCTTTACAATTTTATATAGGTTGATTAGTTTTTACAAATGCTTTTAAATATATTATCAATTCTTACTCTAAACTAAAAGAAGAAGTAAAATAAAAACCATGAGTAGTTTGTCGGAATGCCAGCAGACAAAAAGTATATGAACTTTGCCACAATCTGATGGCTCACTATTTATGTCGGCTTCATGCTGAAAGAAAATGTGTACATGAGGAAATTTTGAGCAATTTGGAGGAGGGAGGCAGGACTCAAATATGGATTTGTTTTGACTCAAAAGATAATATTGGGTTGATTTTGAAAGGTATATTCTACCCAAGGCTCTTGACAGAATCAAAGTTATATTACACAATGAACACAGTATTTGGTTCTCAATAAACATTTGAAAAATGTACTTAAAACATATGACTCAAGCTTTGCTCTTTACAGACTTAGTATGTAGTAAATATTTAAATGTGATTGGTTTAATAAGGAGTTATTTTATAGAACAAAAACACAATTAAATCTAACAGACCAAAGTGCCAAAATTAGGATGATTCATTAAAGTGAGGTAAATGGCTTCACTACTTCGCAACAATTCCTCTGTGTGTGTGTATGAGAGAGAGAGAGAGAGAGACCTATACTCAAGGTTTGAGTATAATAGAAAGTGATTACAGAATTGATAGGAAACAAATTTAAACTGCTTTCCAGAGTTTCTAGAAACTCACTGCCCACACAGAATTTTGTCTTTCTTTACTAAGTCTTCCATAGGCCCCCAACTTCTCTTCTGTTTCCAGAGTGCCCTCTGTAGCCAGCGTAGTGAATTCACAAGCCCAGGGCTCAGGCCAGTAATGAAGCCACCTGGGGTCCCGTGGGGTTGTTTGCAGACCTGGCACCACCTCGCATGGTGCGGACTGTGTGAACCAGGAAATGATCTGCTGGTTTAAAGGGCCCCGGGGCTGCCCAGCTGATGATCGCTAAGATCTTCCAATTTTCAGAAGCACCACATCTGCATGTTCTAAAGTCTTTCAATATTTAAATGTTGACTCAAATTCTTAAAAAGCAGTACAAGAAAACAAAACAAGCTTCTGACCCAGGGCTGTCTGCTGGCAGTACCAAGCTCTGCTTTGAACAGCCTGCCTTCCGTCAACACACCCTGCCTTCCATCAACACACCCTGCCTGTATTACTGCACAACTTGAGGCCAAACTCTTTGGTGCCAGGCGATGTCTCTATTATGCAGAAAAATTCTCACTATTCTTTCTGTAAATCTCTATCATGTGGGCTTTGCTTTCCAGTTATCTTTTTCAAAGTCCAACAGCCAAATATCCCTTGGGCATTTTCCTAAACAAATGGACAATCGACTCCCAAAGGAAACTCACACTTATCAAGGCCAACTTGTTCAATTGCAGACAACTTCGAAAAATGAAATTTTTTTCCTTCTCCTTACATGGAAGTAAAAACTACCTCCTCTTCACCTTTTGTTGGTGTGTATATTAAGATTACTGCTGAGAACTAGACTCTGATATCACATACATAAAAACTAGTTGCATTTTTAAGCTGGAAGACACCTTAAACATTACCTTGCCAATGCTCTCATTGTTACAGGTTGGGGAATTGAAGCCCACAGAGGTCAACTGACTTGCTGAAGTTAGTGACTAAGCCAAGACTAGGATTCCTTGCTCCTGATCCAGTGCTCGGTCATCAGACAGCATTGCCTTCTACCTGATACTCTACAACACCTTCCTGCAATAGATCAAACAGTGCTCGAAAGGTATGAAAATAAAAGACACAGACGCACAGTGACTGTGATTTTCGATGTTATTTTTTATATCACTTATATCTTTGAATGAAGAGAAATATCTCTCTTTCTAAATAAATTCAAAAGCTTCAGGGAACACTGGTAGAGACAGTCACTGGGATCCCCATTTCACACATGAAGAAAACGAAATTACAAAAGTACCATAAGAAAGAGAGAAGGAATTAGAATTTTAGTTTCTGGAATCGTAATTCAGTATCACCTGTCAGATTTTACTGACACTTTCAAACTGATAGCAACTCACGTTTTATTGTTGTAGGGCTTATTCTGACAGATCTCTGGGGACAGGTAGTAAGGTGTTCCAACACAAGTTCGAGCAAGTTCCATGGAACTAGTAAGTTACATTGAATAATAAAATAGCATGATTTATTATTGGAGCAAGAAAAGGCTAAAGACATGGACATGCAAGAAAAAAGTATGAAAATGGATAACACAAAATACGATGCATGCACATATTAGAAGAAAGTAAACGTGGTACATTGGTAATAGAGTAATAAAATCACACTACACAACATTACCAACATCATTCTATTACGTCACAATTTATCCTGGGAATTTTAATGTCAAAGTACCATCTGAATGATTTCATACATTTATATAAAGGTATCTAAAATTATTTGGGAAACCAAGCTTTTACTATCTTCTTAATTCATAGGACCTAAAATTACATATATTGGCTGTTCTTAATAGAAAGAAAAATTATCTTTAAAAGTACTTACTTATTCAGGACTCTTGCTATACCAAAGTCCCCAAGCTTTGCAACAATTCCATTCTTGCTAAGAAAAATGTTCTATAAATGGAGAAAATGTTATATTGTTTGAGATACTTAGAGGAAAGAAAAGATGATTTCTGTCTTGGTCTTCTCTCTGAGCTGTTACCTGAGCTTTTATGTCCCTGTGTAATATCTTCCTGTCGTGAATATGTTTTAGTCCTAGAGAGATCTGTACAAACCAACTCAGGATCTGCAGAGGGAATATTGAAAAGTCTGGTAGTCACTGAAATGTCTTCATGATAACATGCAAAAAGAGAGAAATTATACAGTGTGTATGTGTATTTACAGGAATAAAGCTAATAGATTCACCTTATCGTATTATTATTTTCATTTTACAGATAGAAAAATGGAAACACAATCCAAACATCGCTGGTATCAAAGGGAATTCTACATACAGAAAAAGATAAGTAGAAGTAAGGGAAAGAGAGAGGTTAGGTCAGTGATTTTCTAGATTCCTTATTTAACACTGGGTTGCTGATTGCCTCAGGGGTAGCAGCCAGGCAGCTGTGTTTTCTGATCTGCCTGGGAACATTGGATCTCCCCTTCAGGAGAGGGAGGATGCCAAAGGAAGGGAGAGAAAGCAGAAGACATGGAGAATCTGTGAGGTTATTAGCAATTGTAATGAAATATCTATCTATCTAATACAAAACCAACAAATATTTTACTTTTAAAGCTGAATTTTATTTCTTAGTCATGATTTTATTTTATCTTTGTTGGCCATGAGCCTCTTTATGAAAATGTGTTCTGTGCCTATGGGATTTATTTAAACTATTTTAATATTTCACTGGTTCTTTGTCTACCAAATAATACAGGAAGAGGAAAATAACAGGAATAAAAGCTATATTTCAGACATTACTCTTCAGTTGTAATTTTAGTTCATTCCCAACAAAGGGAAATGTAATTTGAAATTTTGTCACGGAAAGCATTTTTATAAAATGTGGCAAAATAATACCTAGATGAAAAGAAAAGAGGGTTGCTATGAGTATGGAATTTAATACATAATGTAAATGAGCATGAGAAGAATGCTTGATTAATTTCACAGAGGCTAGAGATATTGATTCTTTAATCATTCATATATTCGAAATATTCAACTTTAACTCTAGGAGGAAATTATATGGGCATGATGCTCTTACATGCGAAATTGGAACAAAGAAACAAATGGCCAAAAGAAAGATGGGCCATTCTCGGGTGCTGCTCGAGGCAATGGCCTTCCCCATCAATCACACGGGTCCTAATTCGGATTCCTCTCCACACACACATACCTGTGTCCTTCATGAGCACAACTCCCAAGAGGGTTCCAAAGGAGGCTTTGGAGTATAGAAAAAAAATTTTTGTGCAAAGAGAAAATGGGAACTGAGGCCATTACTCTTCAACTTTTCTCTCCCCCTCTTAACAACCAATGAAACGAAACAGGCATTGCTAAGATCTTCTATCCTCCCCTGGCAAAGTGGGATATTTCAAAACAGAGTATCAAATGGTAAAAGAAAGAACAGTGAAGCTATAAATATGTCACATTTTAAATGACTAAGGAACTCCACATTCAGATTTTTTTTTTTTTAGCCATGAAGATTTATCGCAGAGGCATCTGACATGAGATTGTCCAAAGAGAAAATCTTTTCTCCAGAAAACTTCAGTCGCAAAAACAGATTCAGTTTAAGCTCAATTGCAAACTTGTTCTGGACTAAAATCTACCAAGAATATTGATCCACTATTTTATGGTTTGAACTTCTCCACCAAAAGTCATGCTTCATATAAACATGGTCTACTACTTATGCCATTATAAATTTAATTCCCCCACACACGTATAAATTAGAATGCAAATTAGAAGTGTTTTTACCTGATCTTCACTAAATAACACTCCCCGTTGTCTATTGATCCTTTTCATGAGATCCCCTCCATCACAGTATTCCATTACAATAAACAGCCTGCTGTTCTCTGTAAGAAAAGGGATCATTTAGTGCTGGAAGGCTTTCAGATATTTATCAATCATTTGCCTTTCAAGTTCTAGAAGGTGGAGAATATAACAGAAAAATGTAATATATAAAAGTAAAAAATTCTGGCTGTAGAATCAAGATGGACTGGGTTCTAATCCCACTTTACCACTTGTATTTCTTAGTCTGTGACACCAGGTAAGTGACTTTAATTCCTCTGTGCCTCATTAGCTCATCTGTAAAATGGAAATGGTAGTATAGAAATTTTCTCTTAGGAAATTTCTATATTATTATTCAACCATTGAGTACTGACTGACCTCTGTCTAACCACTCACTAGGTTACTGGACACTCCCCATTACTGTTGTCCCTCAAGACAGACACTAGTGGCTACCAGGCTCTCTCGTATATCCAAGTACCTCTGCTCCCACCAATTAAACTGATTCTTAACAACATCATTGTGCTTGTTCCCAAATCTGTTTATGCCATTTATTCTTTTTTTTTTTTTTTGAGAGAGAGTCTCACTCTCTTGCTTGGGCTAGAGTACCATGGCATCAACCTAGCTCACAGCAACCTCAAACTCCTGGGATCCAGCGATCCTCCTGCCTCAGCCTCCCAGGTAGCTGGGACTACAGGCACGCACCACCATGCCCAGCTGATTTTTTCTATTTTTAGTTATTTGGC